TTTCTTTCTTTCTTTCTTTCTTTCTTTCTTTCTTTCTTTCTTTCTTTTTTTACTGTTCCCCTTCAGTAGCCCTCACCGTATCTTCTGGCAACAGTTCCAGAGTCTTGCTGTGAGTTGAAAGAGAAAGAGAAAAGGGATACTTTTCTTTTGCCTGTCTTCCACTATGTAGTTTCAGTTGGATGAAAAATTCAAGTTTATGAGAATGAAAGATATATTTTCACTTTTACTTGGCCCATGCCATGAATTATTTTAATGATCATCATGCTGTGGATATACCCTATCAAGGGCTTGTGTACTCCGTCTCCTTCTTTGTCAGTTTTTACAGATCTGCTTGTAAAAAGTGCACATTAAAATGCTACTAGTCACACAGCTGTGTTATAAATAAAATTTTCTCCATAAATAAAACTAGTAGAAATTGGATTAGTGAGGTTCCTCTCTGCTATATTAAAGAGATAAGATAAAAGGCACTTTACAAAACAAATCAGTTCTATCCTGTGGAATACATTGGAAATAATTAGCATTGATAAAATCACCATTAGTCAATTGTAAAAGATAGCTTTACTCAGAATAATTTACACCCTGAGATTTAAATACCATCAAATAACATCCCAGGTTCCTGAGAAGGACTTCATCGGCAGATAAAAATGCCAGATCAAGTCTAAACCTCTGGCTATTATGTGACCAACTGTAATCAGACAAAGTAGAGCATTTCACTAGATGCTTCTTTCTGAACAATATAATATACCTGATATACTTACTTAATTTTTGTTTTAGATTAATTTCAATGATTTAGTTTCTTACAGCAGAAAAGATACTATAATTAAAAGTTGGATTGTACATTTCCTTTTGCCTCTTCCATTCAGCCAAGCCTTTTTTTAAGACTTGTTTTGAGGATCAGAGTATCCTGTGGTTGTGATAACAGCAAACTTCTTGCCTTGGGGCGAGATTAATGGCCCATTAAGATTAACAGAGCAGGGTATTTTTGCTGAACTCAAAAGAAGAATGCAAGAGAAAGAACAGAAATGGACTAAATTCTCCTGGATCAACCTCTTCTGGTCTACAGGTCCTCATCAAACAAAGCACTGAGATCAAGGAAGGCTAAACCACCTTTGACCTGGTATCTCTTTGTATTTGGAATAGCTGCCCAGAGCACTGGGCTGCAAAGTCAACAAGCTTCTGTCCACCCTGTCAGGGAATCTTGAAGCAATCAATTCTTCTTAAAAATAAAATTTGGATGAAAACATTGATGAACTATGAGCAAGTGTAAATTTGGACATAGGATTAAGATCATGTACATGTAGAGATCTCTAAATACTGTATATTATTTTGCATATGCACTGTTTCCCTTTGGCACCTCTTTTCAATGTACGCCACTCCCACTTAAATGAGGTCTTTGTACATACATTGAATATTTCTTATCCATGCTTCATTTCTTATTCAACTGCGAATTGTAGTGGCGCTTATAGGTAATCACAAATATGTGACACATACATAAGTTAGAAATGCTTCTTATGGTGTAAATAATCACAAATGACCAGATGGGAAGTACTATTTCATAAATTACACATGACCCCCAAGACACGTGTTATTTGCATTCACATGTTAGCCTGTATTCACATGCTAAAATGTGAATGTTAGTATATCTTATTTGCATTTGAATGACTTTTTTAATATTTTAAAATAATTTAAAATGTGGGGGGAATTCAAGGCAGTATTATGAGTTCTTATTTTATAGCACATTTTTATCCTCTGTTCTCCATGCTTCGTCACACAATGGGTGGTTGCTCCTGTAACAGCCTTCCTATTTGCTTTTTCTTCCTTGAGTCAGCAGCTCTTTTCACATTCCAACCACACCTAATCTTAGGCCTCTATGACCTATAGTTGCTATGCTGAAGGCTTTGATTTTCAGCTGTAGAAAGACAGGAGATAAGCACAAGTATGAGAATAGAAAACTACTCAGAAAGAAAAGGCATCTTCGTGGCTTGTTTTCTTAGATAATTCAAAAAGACCTTGTTGAAGTGTCCTGATAATTAGTTGACATGCAAAGAAATCAAGAGACTCCAGGGCAGTCAGGGTCCAAACAAGAGACCAGAGGAATTATTGAGATCAAGCTGGTGGTAATAGGAGATGGAAGCTGTGGGAAAACATCCATGCTCATGGTCTTTGCAAAAGGAGAATTCCCTAAGGTAAGTTTCTTTTAACCATAATATCAACCTCACACTTCTTACTGCCAGATCCTTTTGTCAAGATCTTTCCTACTCAAGACAAACTATTCAAATATAGTTTCTATAGAATAACTCCTATCAAGCCTCTGGTATTATTTTTCTTCAATTTGAAATTTTCCCATGTTTTAAATTCTCATAACAGGTATACTAGAAAATTCCTTTGTCATGGAAGAATAACTGAAGCATTGTGATAGCAAATCTTTCTGGAGTTTTTCAGTGGATATAGACTCTAACCAAGAGTACTAATAATACTACTAAATTCACTTTACTTAACTAAAGTATTTATCTAATTGCCAGTGATATGCTAAGGACAGCAGAACAAGATTTGGATAGAACCATGAAATATTTGACTGAAAACATCCTGAAATAAAATTATTTTGACAGGTACAAGCAGATTGGGTTATTGTAAAAAGAAAAAAAAGAGAAAATCAATCAAGTTGGCTTTATTTTATTTAAGAATGGACTTAGAACCTTTGGGCAAATAGATTAACCTATAATATTTAAAGATATTTTGCATTGGTTACATCAAAGAAATAAGAATCTTGTGATACTTTAACATTAGTTCATTTCTTACAATATAAAGTTTTATGGAGTAACATCTATTTAATTAGGCCCATTGACGTGTACGCTATGTATACTGTATACGTGATGAGAAAATGGTAAGCACTTAGTCCATATCTTGTTATAAATATTATCTGACTCTGAGACACAATGGCTTCCTATTTAGTGAGTAGAGGGAAGTGATACTAATAAAGGAGAATATTTGTAACTCAGGGTTGACATGAGAGGTCCTTGGTGCTGTCTGAGCTTGATTGTCTTCTTGCAGGTATTTCTCATCAGTGCCAGTAAGGAGTGCTGTTTGCTCTCAGTTTATATTCTAGTGGCTTGCCTGTCGGTGTTGGTGAGGGTGGTCTTAGAAATTCTTTGGGTGGACGGTTTGATGTTGGCTTCTTTGACAGTTTCTTGATTGGGTATTGTTTACTTGATTGTTGGTCTGATATTAACCTTGGAGTTAATCTATGCTGATCTGGGTGCTGATTGCTGGTGGAAAGGTGCTTGGGTCTTTTTCCCCCCGTTTTGGGCTGGGTAATAATCTCTTTTGCATAGTCTATAGATGTTGTTAATGTCTATGTATCTACTGATAGCTGATTTGCCAGAGTGCCTGGCTTCTAGAAATTCCCTGGTGTTTTTGGACTTGACCTGGTCTAGGATGGTAACATTTTCACAATTGAAACTATGGTTAAATCTATCTATATGTTGTGAAATGAAAGGATTTTCATCATGTCTTCTGACTGCTAGTTGTGTTCATGAATGCATTCTGCCAGTCTTCTGCCTGTTTGTCCTACATAGTGGTTGTTGCAGTCCTTACACTGTATGTTGTAGGTGTCTCCTGTTTTTTTTTTCTGGGGCTGTTGGGTCTTTTGGTCTGCTTAGGATATTTTGAAGGGCTTTAGTTGGCTTGTGTACTATGCTGATTCCATGTGGTTGTAATAGTATGTTGGTGGTTTCTGAGATATTCTTGATATATGGTAATATAATTCTTTTTAAGGTTTGTATTGGTTGTGCTGTGTTGGTTGGGTTGAGTGGTCAGGAACCACTCTATTTCCTTTTTCTGCTGTTTCAAGTTGCTGCAGTGTGTTTGTTCTTGTCTAAATAAAGTCCCTACACAGCTTCTCTTGTGGGAGGTTGGGTTGTTGCTTTGGAAGTGGAGCACCTGGTTAGTATAGGTAGTTTTTCTGTAGACTTGCGTTTCTAGTTTGCCATTGTGGTCTCTGCTGATCAGGATGTCCAGGAAGGGTAGCAAGTTGTTTTTTTTTTCTTTTCTAGTAAAGTAGATTCCTTTAAACATGTTACTGATTGTTCTGTGGGTGTTCTCCAATTGGTCCTTTTTTATTATGGTGTAGGTGTCCCCTAGGAGGAGTGATGTACTCATGGGGGAGGGGTGTTCAGAGGCTCACTTCAGAACCTGCTAGCAACTTGGGGTAACCTTGGAAGTCAGATTTGACCCACAGGACTGAATTCAATATCCTTGGCATTAGCATATATATGATCATTCAATTAACTATCAGCAATACAATTTTTACCTCCCACCCGTCACCTCTGTAATAAACTATTCCATTGATGTAGGCTATAGGATTTAATATTGATAGTTCATAATTTAACAATTTCATATTAGAGTCTTCCTTGAAAATTATTTGTTTAAAAATAACCACCAAAAAAATTAAATCTCCAATGGAAGAGAATATATGTAGGCCAGGGTGGAACTGTAGAGTCCTTGGTGCACTCTGAGCTTGGTTGTTTGCTTGCAGACATCTCATCAGTGTATTGATGATGTTATCTAGTTGGGTAATGAAACATCTGCAAGCAAACAATCAAGTTCAGAGAACACCAAGGAATCCACAAATCAGCATCTGTATGTATAAGCTGAAATGATCCTATCTTGGTTATTTTTATCTATATGTTGCGTTCACAACTGAATCATTTTTATTGCAAAAATAAGTCAATGTGGATTTGTGAAATGTGGCAGAGATAGAAAAGAAGGAAAAGCAAAGAAATAACTTTCCTATAGCTTTGTGAAATGAAAGAATATCTGGATACCTATATGTCTCTGAAGATTTTGCCTTACCAAATGTAACCTAGAGTCAGATGAAGATTAACTCCAGATTTTTAATATTAATTCAGTAGAAGTTGATAATACACTTTCCCCCTCAAGGACTGAGCTTTTCTAGTGTCAAGGAAGCCATGGCTGAGAAAATAACTGAGATATGGACCACTTAATGGTGCTCCTGAAGGCACCCTCCCACAGTGAAATATTAATTAGATTGGGCCAACTGAGAAAGGGCCTTTTCATTGTTGCCTGTACTCAAATTTCCTTGCTATGTATTTATTACATTTTTAATATAGGAAAATACGCTTTTATTTCTCCAGACTTTCTAATGCTAATTTTCTCGCCACGCTCCAATGGAGCTTTTTTAATTGATCTGTTTTTGTTGGCTATTGGTTGTTTTAATTAGTCGACATATTGTTTCAGTAGATGTGCTGTGTATTTGTTAGCTGTTTTCTGATGCTGTTAATTAATGCTAGAATTTTTTTGAGAAAGAGGTTAGATATCGTTCTTCAAAATGTTTTGAAGACTTTGTAGGAAAAGATTTGTTTGGAAAAGCAGCCTACGTATTCCTAAACAAATAATCTGAAAGGAAATAGATGCTGTGGCAGAAAAAGCTCTTCAGGGATGGTATCAAATCAACCAATCCTTCAAGAGATAATCAGCTAAGCAAAAATGTAACTTTCTTCATCATCTTTTTCTAGGTTTATAACCCAACAGTTTTTGAGAAATACTTTGCTCCCTTTTGCATCAGTGACAAGCAAGTCCATATCAGTCTTTGGGACACAGCAGGTAAGGCCTAGGTCAAAACGGCAGCATTATTCTATAGACAGATGCATTAGCAGAATAAAATTCTTTCAGTGAGATTGTGTTAGTCAAGGAATGAACAAACTTTTGCCTGTATAGAGACATCATCTTCCAGAAGGAAGTTAAATGCAGTGGCAGTTTGCCAACAATTTTTGGCTTACTGACTGAACACCAGCTAGTCAGGCAGAATTATTTGCTTGAAAAAGGCAACCTAAAACATAGCAATGTGGGGGTGTTGAGACGAATTTAATTTAAAGAATTATCTTTCACTACTGCATTAGCTTATTTTAACATAGAACCATATTCAACTATAGTTGCCTTCTTTAGGGAGTATGTAGAACATATCACAATCTTTGATCCACATATGGACAGAAATAGGCAGCCCATAAGCAAAAAGCTTTCTGCTCTTTTGGGAAGGTAGTATCACCCAATCTCTTTATGCATCACAATATTTTGCAAAGAGGGAATAGCATAAATCTTGTGGTGATGTACCATACAATGAACACTTTGCCTTATCAAAGCTGGAGTCCCTCAGATGTACTAAGCTTCACTTCTTACATGCTGACTAGGGATGATGAGAGTGAGCCTAACACATCTGTTGAGACAGACTGCCCTGAAGTTCCTCTGCATGGATGAAACAAACATTTTGGTTTTTAAAATAATGTAGGTCAGTCAGGATATCCTGTAACCTTCCCTTCCAAGATCACTGCATAACAAGCAAGTCAATTTACCACATTTTACAACTTGTTGCCTTCACTTTTATAGACTTGGTTGCCCCCCACCCCCCACTTCCCCTGCTGCCCTGTCTATTGACAGTACTGAGCTCTCACTGCAGAAACTGTATTTTCTGAGGCAGAAAAGTGTGCTCCTGTAAGGAAAAGGCCCTTTCAATGCTTCCTTTTGTTAAAATATATAAAAATGAACAAAGGTGGAGAAGGAACAAATGACAAAATCTCCCTTACAGAGAACCTCAGACAATCTCTCAAGAGTTCAAAGCGGCCATTTCTAGAACCTTGAAATTCCCCTGGAATATCAGTCCAAAGATACCAGATTTCTAGAGGTGAATGAAATACTTTCAACAGAACTGAAAGAACAGTTTCTTTCATCTCTAGACAAAATATCTACCACTTCCATACCTTGAATCCTGGAGATTATGTTGCAGAGAAAACAAAAGACTGCACAGCAGGGGTGGGATCAGTAGTGGGATTCAAATGTTTTTACTACCGGTTCTGTGGGCGTGGCTTGGTGGGAATGGCAGGGGAAGGATACTATAAAATCTCCAGTCAGAGGTGTCATTTGCCAGTTCTCTAAACTATTCAATATTTCTGCTACCGGTTCTCCAGAACTTGTCAGAACCTGCTGAATACCACTTCTGGGTGGGATGCTACTGGTTCTGTCCGGCTCTATAGAGCCGGTAACTCTATAGAGCAGCAGACCCAAAACCGGTTCTGTGTCTGCTGCTGTTTGGCTCACCCACCCACCTGGGCTTTTACCTGGCCTTTATTTCCTGCATTTTCAACCTCAGCTGCTTTCCGCGGCACAGCTGCAGTTGAAAAAGCAGAAAAAAAGTGCTTTTTGAAATGCTCTGCACCCGCGGGCAGCACTTATCAGCTGTCCCAGTGGCTCAGCTAATGATGTAGTACACACACAAAACGCAAATACTGAACTGGTAGTAATGCTAGTTGAATCCCACCCCTGTTGCACAGTACATGTCAACAGTTGTAGTTGTGTTTCTCCTAGATTAGAGGAGAAGAAATAAGAGAAAGAGTGGTTTTTCTGCTACTTTTGAATTTCTAAAAAATATATCTAAGTAAAGGCCTAGTAAAGATAGACTGTCACCTAGGATTTTATCCTAGCAGGCAACTCATGCATGGACACATGTTCACATGAACATCTGGCTATAATGATTTGAAGATAACAGGAGGCCAGTTCATCTCCTGATTGTTTCCTCTTGCTCACAATGCTCCTATGCACAAATGAAGCACATTGGAAATGCTAAGAATGTATGTTCTTTACAGGTCCCTGAAAATTACACTGTGATCAAGTAGAATATAAAATCACAACCTTTTAGACATTTAATCAGAAACAAACTCCACTGAATGGACTGAGAAGACAATGCATATTAGACTGTACTATGTATTTAATTTATGAGATTTTTTACCTTGCCTTTATTATTTTATAAATAACGTAAGGTGGCAATGGTACCTAATACTCCTTCCTCCTCATGTTTTCCCCACTGTGACAACCTTGTGAGGTGGGTTGGGCTGAAGGAAGGCAACTGGCCCAAAGTCATCCAGCTTGGCTTTGGTGTACTTTAAATTACTTAGGGATTTTTTAGGACAGAGATACACTACCTTATATATTAATATGACTGTAGGTGGCTATTATGGGAAGTGAAATGTGTAAGAAACTGGGAGGAAGCCCCTGAAAAAACACTAATGCATATATTGTAAGTGATGCTTATATATATTGGTCAATGCAAATACATGTTACATTATTCTATACAGGACAGGAAGATTATGACAGACTCCGCCCTCTCTCCTATGATGGAGCCAATGCAATTATCATATGCTATGATGTCACCAATCCCATCAGCTTCAACAACATCCTCACAAAGGTAACAAGAACAGTACCTCAACGTAATATGTGAACTCAATGAAAATTGCTTGCTATGGCATATATTGAAAAGGTTTGATATCTTACAGTAAATAAAACTCAAGTTGTTATACCAGAAAAACTTGCAGCTCTTCCAAGGACATCCATTCAGCTTTTGGGTTTGCTTCCTTTTCTTCTATTTCACTCCATTTTGACCTGCATAATCATTTTATTTTAATCCATCATCTGGTTTTATCATGCCCAAAGTATTAAGTCTTGTTTGTTGAATGCTGGAACAAACCGGCTTTATTTGGTCCAGAATTCAGACTGATTAGTTATTCTTGCAATCCATGGTACTCTTGGCAACCATCTCCAAATCCAGAATCTGAAAGTGTGTTTTCTTTCTCTTGTTCTTTCTCTGTGTCCACAGCTTTCACAGCTGTATGTTTGCACTGAAAGACCATTGAGGAAAACAAATTCCTTGAGTAAAAACTCATTCATTCTAGATACGCATGTTTTATAGAAGGCTCTTTGCTAGTTTTCAGAAATATAGTAAAAAATAAAGCAGATTCTATATAACTGAAATCTATATACCTTCGATGTTTTTTTAAACCCCATCTGTCTCTTATTTTAGTGGTACCCTGAAGCAAACCATTTCTGCAAAGGGATTCCAATTTTGCTTGTTGGTTGCAAAACTGACCTAAGGAAAGACAAAGTTCTACTAAGGAAATTACATCAAAATCAACTGGAACCCATCACCTACCAGAAGGTAGTACAATCAGACACCCACACTTCTCTCTCTGTGTGTGTGTGCTATCATGTTGCACTATCCAACCACAAGCTTTACCCCCAAAAAACATAATACATGAGGTGACTTTCTACCTACATTCGGTCTCATCAAAGCTAACAAAAAGTGCTGATAATAGCAGGGCTGAACAATACTTCAGAAATAATATTAGAGAACGTATGCTTTGGAATGGATGAAAGCACAAAAGAACATGTCTACAATTCCTTAGACCTGCTGCTTCTTTTCCCTTGACTGGGTGTTATGCTATCTGCAGCTGCCATGTGACCCCCAGAAACAATGCAGTTACTTCAAAGAATTGTAGATTTATGGCCCTTTGAAGCACATTTTTGGAACTAAATCTAAAGCACTTCCCTATCCTAACATTCAGACAAATCCCATCAAGTTGGGCTTGATAGCTGGAAATTACATAGGTTACCATTTCATCCTCACCTTGAAATACCAGGTGTGCTTTGTTGTAGCTCATTATTGTAAATATGTTGCCCTTTACTGGTTCCTTAAATCAGGAACGAGCAGCAGTTGTTGAATTCCAACTCTCATTATCTGTGAGCAGAACAGCCAGTGGTACAAGATGATAGTGTTGCAAACCAAGGTCTAGAAGGCCACAAATTGTCTATCCTGCCCTAGTTTTAAGAAGATATGTTAATATTGTTCCCCCCCCCCCTCCTCATCTTCTTTTTGTTGTAGGGAGAGGCCTTGGCTCAGAAACTCCATGCAGTTGCATATTTTGAGTGTTCAGCCCTCTATCATGAAAATATTACTGACATATTCACAGAGGCTTCAAAAGCAGCTTTGAGTAGGATGAAGAAAGAACAGCGGAGGCAAAGACTCAAAAGGACCTGTCTCCTTACCTAAACATCCTTTGAGTGACTCCAGAAAATTTGCAAAAGTTCCTATCTACACAGAGAGATGAAATCTCTTAGAATAAGTTGTGCAATAAATAAAGAAAATAAGTAATAAAGATGTTGGGACCCCAACTGAGATAGACCAATATGCAAATAGATAGAACAAGATTGCATAGAATATCAAGCTTCCTGGATCTAGTGGTACAATATTTCAACTACAGCACAGCAGTTCATCTTCACCTTCAAATTTATTGATGACTAAAGAAGAAATCAAGGGAACTAGATTTGCTTTTTCTAAGGAAAAGAACAGCAAATGCAATCACAGACTATATCTGATAATCTAGGAACAAAGCCAGAAGGAGGGACCCACCCAGCCTGCAAACTTGGTTCTTCAAGTTGAGTACTTTTCCATCACAGCTGCACATCTAATTCTGGGGCAATATACAGTGTATATCATGTTAGAAGCCTCCTTTATTTCTGTGACCTTGCTGCTTATTTTTTTTTTAAAGTTATTGAAACAATTTTTTTAAAGCCTTGAAACCCTTGGTTTAAAATTATCTAGCTGCACTTTGTCCAGCATTTTCAAATTAGTTAGTCTTAAATTAGTCTTTAAGATGCAATAAACTCTGAGAGAAAGTCAGTTTTTGATGTGCCTAAATATGTTATTTATTCACAGACATTTATTAACAAAGAAAAAGGAAGTATTGTGTTGCATATATAATTCAATTTATCTATAGGCCATTAGATAACAGAAGACTGCCATAGGACTATATCACAACTCATCATCACATGTCAAGATTTATTTTCTATGCAGAACTAGAAATAACACAAAATGTATTTTTCAGCCTCATGACCATTGCTACCACTTAGTGCGAAGAATCTGGAATTTCTGTCTATTCAGTTATTGAAGAAGAAAATTGAGGTGTTGCGGGGAAATAGAAAAAATTCACAGAGAAAGAAAGAATCCCACCATCAGAACTTTGCTTAACAAATAACTTCATTGCTAAGAGAAAACCTGTGACACAATGGAAGAACACATTCTGAGTTTTGGCTAAATAGTAAAGTTTTCTTTTTCCAATACAGTGTATCATAAAACATGTAAAACAACAACAATTGGATAGGAGGTGTTAAGGATTCAAGCCAAGAAAACCTATTTTCAAAATAGCCTGTTTCCTATCTTCTCCTTAACCTTCCTCTGGACTTAGACAAGTTTTTCTTCCAATCAACTCTGCAAATCTTAAAGTCCCAGAGCATGTTAGCCTTTTCGTTTTCTATTACTTTGTCTGTTTTATGTTCCCACCACTTTTTGCTTGCAGGCAAACACTATTTCTTGCAGATATTCCAACATGTTGTTTCTACATACTTTGTGAAACCGTTGTTTATAATCAGTCTTTGAAATTTGCTTGCAGCAGCTAACTAGGTGGTCCATTATTTCTTCAGTTCCTTATTGTTTACATTTATGATGACTGTTCAATGGACTCTGGGTGGCTTACAACATCCAGGTATATAATTAAAACGATTAGAAATAAAAAATAAAATATGTATTACAAAAAAAAAATTAAAAATATAAATGACATGTTAGTCCAAACTAAAAACAAACAAAACAATAAAACCTGACAGGGGCCATAAACACCTTAATCCCAGGCCTGGGAACACAGGTAGATTTCCAGTGCTTTCTGGAACTCCAGGAGAGTGGACATTGTGTGTACAGTATCTCTGGGGGACTACTGTTCCAGAGGTCAGGAGCAGCAATAGAGAAGGCACGCTTCCTCAGTCCCACACAATGACATTGTTTCATTGAGGGGACTTGGCGCATACCCCTCAGACCAAATGTTCCAGATAGACAGAAATTAATTGAAAAAGGTGTGGTTTACCATTACATTCCCCCATGCATTATGAAATGATGCCTTTGCCATTGCCATTAAAGCTATCACCCACTTTCAGCATCTTCCGATATCACTAAAGCCTATTTGCTTTAGCTCGGCAGATGGACTTACATCTTGAATGGCCCTGCTGGGACTATGTACTTTTGGCATATACTCCTGGCATTCTTCGCTCATCCCTCCTAGAAATATCATCCCTATCCTCCATTGTGATGAAGCATCATAGCAGGACTTGGGGAAATAGGTTTGCTTCTTTAGTGTATCTGACTAAGGGAAGAATGCCCAATTTTTCACGCACAGTCCTGACTCGTAGGATAAAAAGGGAAATCTTCAAAGTCCGAAAGTGCTAATAGTGACCTTTAAATTGTAGTATTTTTTTTTACTATCCTTTAAAAACTTAAAACACAATATGTATGATGTCTGTAATCTTCACAATATTTTTCTTCAAGCACTAGTTATTACAATTTGAGGTCAGAGAAAAGAGAATCATAAAAATGAATATGATTCTTCCGTACTTCTAGCCTGATGCCATTCTTCATATTACCTGTGTCTACCTAAGTTGAAACTGAACACATCTAGAAGGCCCAAGGCTGAAGAAGCTGGGCTGATCCAGTTATCGAATATACCAGAAAAAAATATCATATCATATATCGTGGATTTGGTTGCAAAATCTAAAAACAAAAATAAACAAAACAAAAAAAAATGTTGGTAGAGCACTTTGAAATCCTAGTTATTGTGATATAAGGTATCCTACTTTGGACAAATTATGCGTTCTCTGGCAGCAAAGTGGTGCTTATAGTAGCAATGAGTGCACCATGGAATTGCTGAAGGACTAGGTTAGGGTCAGATCATCTTGAAAATTCATCTACAAGAATCAGCAACCATTTGTTGACACGATTGAATTTTGGAAAAATGGTAGCCCAGGTTGGTTGTCACAGTTCTCTAGACTTAGGGAGATAATTACCAAAGCAGAGATAATATTTTTTGAAGACATTTTGTTTTGCAGTTCAGCAACCCTTTGTGCAACCCTTCAGAAGTGGGGGTCACCTCGTAGTGTTATACCCTATGTCAAATTTGAATTATCAGGAATTAATGGGTGATTGGAGGCTTCTTGATGGTTGGAATGGTGTCAACTCTGTTGTCAGTCTGTTGTGCATGATTTGAATCAAGTGCTTTACCTTTCTTTCAAATTAAGCAACTCTAGTTCTGTCCTTATTTAATTTGAGGCACATTCACTGAGTAGAAAACTCAAAAGAAATAAGGCAAAAGTAAAATTGCCTTTCTGTATCTATAAAAGATGTATATCTTTTATATATCTATTCTGCAAAATGAGCAATGAAGCAGAAAGCATCCTAATGCTGAGAAACCCGCAGCATAATGCTAAACCCCAACAGACTTCTAAAGAAGAAACTATGATTTTAAAAATGATTTAAATACAAAAAATGTTCTTTTAAGGATAATAAATTTCTTGTTAAAGTTAGCTAATACAATATTACTCTATAATGAATGGGGATCCTGCTTTTCTAGGCATCCATGGTGTTCAGTTATTTAAATACTGATCCTATATTCATATTGTTTTCTTTCAACAAAACTAGACTGCTCATTGGGTCTGTTTTTTTTTTTCTTCCTATTATTTTCCCAGAAGTGCAAGGTCCACTTTTTTCAGTTTAACTGATATTGATCTATTTGATTAAAGCAGGAATCGACTGACAAGATTGTCATCAAAGCCTGATGACTTGGACTGAAAGTTCCTGGTTCAAAGTCACCCAGCTGACTTTCATGACTAAAGTAGAACTAGAGTTCACTCTTTCCTGGTTGCTAACCTGATCTAACTACTAGACCAAACTGGTACTTTTAATTGGAGTTGAAAATAGATAATAATTTTAATAATTTTGTATGACTGCATGTTGCAATGAATCATTTCAACCTCAGCAGAAATAGACTTCCTACAATGATTAAGTTTTATTCGTTACAGTGAAATTGTTCAGGGTAAGCATATTATTTTTCAGTCCCATGCGTCTTAACTCAAATTTTAAAAATAAATAATATACTGGCAACCCAATTTCATTCATGTTTATTTGAATCTAGGGTTATTGAAAAATATTTCTATAATTAGTCTGCTCATAAAAAATTAGTTAAGCAATCTTTACATTTACTATCAAGCTCTTTAATACATAATTCATTTCAAATCTGGAGAGTATTAAAAAAAACTTTTTGAAATGGACTGTCAAGTAGTCCTCAACTTACAAACATTTGTTTAGTGACCGTTCGACATTACAACAGCCCTGAAAAAAGTGACTTGTTTTTCACACTTAACGACTGTTACAGCATACCTGGAACAAAATTCATATATTTGGAAACTAGTATTTATTTATGACAGTTGCAGTGTCTGGGGTCATGCTTTGGCTACCTTCTGACAAGAAAAGTCAATAGTGAAGTAAGATTCACTGAACAACTGTGTTATTAACTTCATAACTGCAATGATTCACTGTGGCAAGAAAGGTATAAAATGGGGCAAAACTCAACAGCTGTCTTGCTTAGCAGCAGAAATTTTGGGCTCATTGTCATAAATAATGGACTATAACTGAAATATTGCTCAGAAAAGATTTTTGTCAACTCTGCCTCAAAAAATATTAGGGTAACATCTCACTAACATCTCATCCTGGGCACCCTTTTCTTTTTTGAACTATTACCACCTGGCAGACGGTACAGGATAATAAAAACAAGGACAAATAGGCTGAAAAAGAGTTTCTATCCCAGGACAGTAGCTCTTTTGAATTCTGCTGTATAGAGCAGTATTGGTGCGGTGTCGGGTTTTTCAATTCAATGTGTGGAGTGTGAAGGATGTGTTTGTGTTTTATTTTTATAGTTATAATGTAAGTGAAGATGGCATTTCATTTCGTTGTAGGAGGTGCAATGACAAACTAACTTTTGTGACACTTAAAACATTGATAGACTCTAGTCTAAAGCAATTATGCAATGACAACAGCTATCGGCAAAATCTAATTAGCTTTGTTAAATAGGTGTCAGTCTATATATCCCGCACCCCCTTAAAGAGCTTTATGTAGAGATTTTGAAACGTGAGGCATTTTTTTTCTTGTGTCACTTTCGGAAAGCCGACTCCAAA